AGTCCTGCGCCTGCCACGAAATCTGCACTTCAACATCCACAAAGTCCTGCACCTGCCACGAAAACTGCACTTCAACATCCACAAAGTCCTGCACCTGCCACGAAATCTGCACTTCAAGGTCCACAAAGTACTGCGCCTGCCACGAAACACGAAAAAATCCCAAACAAAAACAAGAAACGCATCCTAAATTAAATCCGAGCCCACTATTCTACAAGCCTAGTATATTCTTTTCAAGAAGCCATGCTCCAGCAAAAATCGGAGATACGTTTCTGGACACATGTGCAATTCCTGTTGGAAAGGCGCAATCTTCCTTGTGTGTTGCATTTTTAAGACCAGCTGTTTCTCTGAAAGAACAATGCTTTTGATATGAAAGAATTGTGCATTATTACTATATAATCAATTGTGTTCATGATTTTGCAAAGGGCACTTACCAGAACAATGCCTTATACCCCACAGTAATTCCAGGATTACATTTTCGACTAGGGTTTCTTCGTTTTAAGGTAACTCCCTCAGAGAGGCTATATTACTTTGTAAATCTTGTATAAAGACGTCGTACACATTTTTCAAGAAATACCATCCTTTGAGAACTACCATACTCCTTTGAGAACGGTACTCTTGATAAAAGGACCACTGCAACACAGAAAATAACTACATTTTGAACATTGAAATGAATTTTTAATGCCTGAAGGAATCTCGAACCACTTTCAAACAAATGATGGACTTTCTTGAAGGGACACATAACACCATGATCACTAGTAAAGACCACCGCATATTTGTATAACTGAAACTTAAATGAACATGGTGTTGAATTTTGTCAGTAGAAGGCTCTATACTGTCAATATCTTTCAATATCTTTCAATGCAATTACATATATGTCGAAGGGACATTGCATGAAATTGCAGTCTTTCAAAGGAAATCCAAGTCAGGCCACACATTCTTTATGGAATTTCACCTTCTTTAGAAATACGACTTGGATTCACAGATATTGGTGGATTGTATGTGAATCCATGTCCTAAGTGCACGGTTGCCTGTCCCCCATGCCCAAGTTTCTCAATTTGGGGACAGTAAGGCTGGATCCAAGTGCCCGAGTCATGAAATAATATGCTATTAATCAGGATTATTAAGTCAAGTCAAAGTAGCGCAACAAGTCTATAAACTTCATAATTGAGTTTACAAACTATATTAAGTCAGGGGGAGTAGTTGGAAGTCTTCTTCTTGAGGGGAGGGTGGGGGGCGCTCAGAACTCTTTGGAGTAGGGGGGGCGCTCTCAGAACTCTTTAGTGACTGCTTCGAAACCCCAAGAAGACTTCCAACTACCCCCCCCTACTCCAAAGAGTTCTGAGCGCCCCCCTACTCCAAAGAGCTCTGAGCGCTCCACTTCTGTTTTACTATAAATCTATTACTCACAAGTGTATGCAACGCAAGACATGTTTATAAACACAAAACTGTTTATAAACACAGGCATGGTTGTTGTTAATTGCAGACGCTCACTTTGATTACATATGACGCGCCCAGTTGCTGCAAGATGATTTACAGAAATTGACGTGAGTTGCTAGAAGCAGATGCAGAGGACAAGTCATAATTGCTAATAGCTGTATTTCACAACAACATGATATACAGTTACATGGGCTCAGTGTTTTTTTTTATAGTTTCATTGGGGCCCGGAAAAAGGAACCGAAGCCATATATATATATATATTTACATATTTGGCCATTGAACTGGTTATATTACTAGCTTGAGGCGCGTGCGGGGTTGGTGCTAGCTTGCGCTCCCTCTCCCTATCCGGACCTTCCTGGCCAGAGTTTGAGCAGCAGCTCACTGCTTGGATATATATGACCGTGGCTGCCCTCAGCAGCCTCCCCAGATGATATGCTGTACTTTGCTGGCTTGCTTGAATGCAACCAATCAGAGCAGCACTTCCCTCGTGCAGTGCAGGGAGCCAATTGTTTCCGGACAATGTGCTCAGTTTTATCGTGAAGGCTTGACCATCAAACATCACAACCTTGTGCGACCAAGAAAGGCCAAACGGCCGTCAATCCGGAACAATACCTCCAAATAAGTCTAAGTGGAGTGTACCAGACTTACATATTTTTTTCAATCTCATGGGCTAGCGGCTACAAACTTTAGACACCGTGCAAACGCAAGCGGGATCACTGATGAATGCAGCTGAACGCAGCCAGTTCGCCTAACTGGTAGCTGCAAGTTTTTGACATGATTTTCCACGTTCTGGGTGAACTACCCTCGCCTTACAGCGTGATCCCAACATCAAAACCCAAACCTTGTTGTCGCAATTCATTGGATTTGCGCCCAACCAATCTACCTGTAGGATGCCCTGACAGACAGAAGTAGGTCAAGCCAGACACACATACACACACTTGAGATTTTGTGTACGGAACTGAATGCTGTGCCACACGCCGGCCTAGGGTTCCATTTCCTAAGGATACAGGTAAG